GGGAGATGAAGTGAAGTTATATTTTTGCAACTTTCAGCTCATCAAGAAAAAACTATATTTAATAATTTTGTTATGCCTATCACTATCTAGAGAACAGAATAATTTCATAGATTTGTTTATTTATTTAAGATGTTCATGTAGCATGCAATTTTTTTTTTAAACCAGGGTGAATATTTTTCTGGGAAACAAGTCCATAAAAGCTCAACAGACAATAAACTTGTATTTAAGTATAGATACGAATACTTAGAATATTTCATATTCAAGTTCTATTTTATTTATTTACTTATCTATTTTGCTGCACCGGAGATTAAATTCAGGACCTGCGCTTGCCAGGCAAGCACTTATTCTACTGAGCTATCTCCCCAGCTCATATTCAACTTTTGGCATAAATGTAGGAGGAGTGAGCGAAGCTGCCGGCAGGCAGCTGTGTTTCCGTGCGCGCACGTCAGAGTTGCAGAGCGCAGAGGGCCTGCTGCAAGGCACCGCCAGAAGCGGGGGCGGGGGCGGCGTCTTCTGATTCCCTGCACCGGCAGCGGCACCCACAGGACGGCTGCTTTGCTGCTGCTTTCTACCTGGGCGGCGATTGGCACCTGCAGGGGCTCCCTCAGGGCTTTTCCTCCCTTGGTCAGCGAAATGCCACCGCTTTACCTACGCCAGCGAAAGAGCCCAAAGGCGTGGCTCGCAGGCCCGCCGGCACGCAGCACTGGCCCTTGGTTTAGTTACTGAGAAGTGCATCGGGCCCTGGCGCAGCGCACGCCTCCAAGCGCTATAATCGAACGGCTGCGCCAGTGACGCGTGAACAGGCATCTGGTGCTGTGGAAGCGGAGTACGTGCACTGAGTTTATTTGTAGTCGTGTCTCTTGGTCCCACGTCTTTAAAAGTGCCTCTTGCGGAGAAATCTGAGTCCTGAGAGAGCTGGCGATATCCTGGTGCAGGACTGCAGAGCAAGCAGCGCTGACTCCAGCTAGGGCCCAGTGTGGGTGTTGCAGGGGCAGGAAGAGGGGTGACGGCTTGCACACCACCGCAATTACAGAGCGCACAGCGGGCCGGGGTATCCACAGGCACGATCCTTTCAGGAAATTCCACTAAAGGGACACAGGGCTTCCGGAGGCGAGCGGGCGGGTGCGCACTCCGGAGTGGTGACCGACTGCCTGCACTCACAGCACGGCCCTCAAGGACCCTGGTGGGCGCAAGCTCCACCCTGACTCCGGCTGCCCTTTCCCTGACTCACACGTGACCGCTCCCGGAATGAGCCCGAGGAAGCTCCCCACGGCTGCACGCCCGGTGGAAGCGGGGTGAAGGATCCAGAGAGGCCACGTTTATTAGGCAATTTAGCGAATTCCCTGAGTGCCGGATACAGTGTGATGCAGTCAGTTTCTTTTTGGTGGATAGCATTACCCTCCTGCCACAGGAAACGGGGCGAAATTCTTCTCCCTTCCAAATCTCTGGTCTTTCCTTTGCAGCAAATAGCATCCTGGTGCTGCTCGACACAAGCGACACTGGTGCACAGTCTGTGTTACACAGAAGAGTCAGCGTGGGCCAGCCGCGCCTCTGCTGCAGGTGACCCTTGAGGTCAGCAGATCCTGTCATTCGCACTGTCAACAAATCACCATTATCACAGTAGAAAATTACTCATTTTTACCCCTGAATTTATGCAGACAGTGATTTCCCAGTTGTCCGGAAGCTCAAATTGCCAGTGTAGAGCTGTGTCGTCTTGAGAGAATTTATGTTGCACAAGAAAAAAGAAAAAGCTAGTAATTTTTCCCACATCAAACCCATACAGCATATTCTCTGAAACCAACTTGTTCTAACCCTAAATTAAGGTTGAGCATAATGAGAACGTTTTCCTATATGGAAAATCTGGAATACAAATAAAGAAGTAACGAAGAGGGGGTTGCAGGAAACAGGAGACGGATCCTTCGCAAATGGAGGAGGAACCAAGCCAGGGGGCAGAGAGGAGGCGGGCCAGGACCGGAGCTGACCAGCACGTGCTGCGAGCCGGCCGGCTTCTCAGGCGGCGGCGGAGTCACCGGCTGCACACGGGAGCCAGGAGGAAAGAAAAATTAAAAATCTTTTCAAAAGCCCTTTTAGGTTAATGTGTAAAAAGCAGCGCGGCCCGCCCTGTTCAGCTTCCTCATCCCCAGGCGCACTGACCCCGTTCTTTCCTATGAAAACGGACCTTGTAACTGTAGTGAAACTACCACACAGGTGTAGACTGTAGTATTTGCGGAAGTGATGAAAGCCCACTATGAATAGCAAAATGAAAATTATAACATGACGGATCCCTGAACAGTTTTTGTTTTTCTTTAACAGAAATAAAAAGCTACAAGAAAAATGTAAAGAAGTTGAGTTGATACTTCTGAAGGCGCAAATTTGAGCAAGGCAGAGAGCGCGCCCGAGTTAACGGTGTGGCTCCAAGGACTCCGGGGAGAGCGTCTCAGGAGCCGGCGCAACACTCAGGCACCAGAGACGACTGCGCAGTCTACACTGAGGCTTCAGAACCCATTCATTTTATGCAAGCGTGTGCAAACATTGTGTTTTCAACTCTGTTGTGCCATGGGATTTGATTCCTGGCGACCTGCGAGTCCTGGTCCCCGGGTCTATCTTGAACATGTCTGCAGCTTCGCCTGGTTTCTTTATGCTGTCAGATGTGAACTTCGCGCTAATTTGGAAAAATCAGTTCTCACACCCACTGCTGAGAGACTGATAGCCGAATTCTCCAACGAGCCACACATTTAAGAGATGAAGAACAGAGCCGCAGACAATGGCTGGGTTTTCCCAGAGTGTAAATTCTTCGGACTCAGCTGTCAACATGGAAGTACATGACGTAAAGGTGGTTTTAACTGGATGTTTTTTTCCTGTGAAGCCATAAGAATGAAATGGATACTGTACTCTCCTATAAGTTATTCCATCTCCTAATGAGAGCTTGTTTCTTGGGGACAATGAAAGCTCGTGTGCCCCTTGGAGCTCTGAGGGGATCAAAGTTGCCTTCTTTCGGAATAAAAAAACAAACACTTTTTTCTCCCACACAAGTATTTCCTCTTGAGCACAGACCAGATATGGTCTTAACAGGAGACATTTTTCCTAATCACCCTGCACAGTCAGGGCTTGGTCATGGAGAGTGGCTTCTCTGAAATTGTCTTCTGGGTCTTTGGAACAGGACTCAGCCTTCTCTTCAGTGTCTCCAATGAGGCCCCATGCCCAGGGTCCCTGGTTCTGCTCGGGCTCTGCTATCCCCGTGGGGTGGGGTAGACCAGATATCCTGCACCCTCTCACCACTACAGCCATAAGCAATTGTAGGAAAAGCCTGCATCTAACGTGGCTGTGTAGAACAAGAGCCAAGTCCAGAATAGTGTTGAGAAAGCAGGGAAAAAGGGGATCTCTGAGAAGTGGCTCTTGTGAGAGTGGGGTAGTGGCCCATGGCAAACACTGCAGGAGATTGATTTCAAAAAGCTACACAGAGCCGTGGAGAAGGACCAGCAGCACCTCTGTGGTAGGAAGGCAGGATGGGAGGAGCAAGGACGGGAAGGCACTGAAGAGTCGAGGGCTAGCCAGGCTCTAGCCTAAAGGTGCAGAAACACAGCTTGCACTGTTAGCAGAATGTACTCTCCATGGGACGGGGAGCAGGACCAAAGGCCACGGGAAGAAACTAGGGGTGGAAAAGAGGCAAGGACAGTGGAAGAAATGTCAATGGGACAATGCGTGGAAGAATACCAACTCATAGGCAGGGGTCAGCGGAGCCCAACAAGAGCTATTTCTTTGTTCCTAACACAGAAAATAATAGGACAGGCAGGGATGTTGCCACAAGCTGCATGTGGTGATGGCCGCGGAGTGTGGGTCTGAGTTATGTCTGCAATTGTCACTTGGAGCATAGACGGATGGAACCAACATAGCTCATGCCCGAGCAGGTTCCCTGAGGGCTAGGCTTGGCATATCTTTCTCAGTTGACCACTGAAAGAGGGAAGTGGTGACAAAAGTAGTTTGGGGGTTCTAGGAAGGAAAGGCAGGACAGATGTGTGGCAGATTTCACGGTGAGAGGACCAGGTGTCCTTCTGAGACCAAAAATGAACTGTAGCCGCCGCTTCATGCTCACTAACGAGGGGAGCGCGAGGGAAGGTCAGAGATGGGGCTGGGGCTGGGGCTGGGGCTGGAGCTGGGCAGCCTCATCTCCAGATGCCAAGGGCAGATTTAGATGCTGATGACCTAATAATGACCCCACGACAGCACGACAGACACCATTATGGTGATCACCAACGTGTGTGTGTGAATAACCAAGAAAGTAAGCCAGCTTTAGAAAGTCTACGTTAGGCACACTGAGGTAGCATCAGAATGGAGCCATTAAGTTTTTAAACTTATATATCTTGCATGATTTCTGCTATACTAAACTTTCACGTACCATAAAAAAGGAGAGAGTATATCCACAGATATCAGTTACTTCTTAGAATAGTTAAGCCAGTGCTTTTGAAGTTTAGGAAATGGGTTTTGCTTTAGCACCAGGATAGAAAACATGTTGTCCTCAATTTCCTCATCTAGGAAATGGGAGAGGTGGTTTTGGAAGATAAAGGACGAAGCAAGAGAAATCCTGATGCGAAGTCCTCGGAAGTGCCAAGACCCACCACTGCCGTGCTCTTAGCAGGGGTGATGCGTGTGGCTCGTGGCGCAGTGTGCTCTGGGCTCCGAGGCGGTCGGCCGCCCTGTGCAGCCGCCCTGTGCGGCCTGAGTGGGCCCTGCCAGGAGGGGCTGGTCCAGAGCTTCACTTTTTCCATTGCTTTCCTTCTGTAGCGCAGCCCAAATCTCTTTCTTCCCATAGCGAACCCCTGAGAACCACCCATCACATTGGCACACAGCAAGTACTTCCTGAGTTTGTAATCTCTCTTTTCCCAGCGTTCTCGCACGCTTGGCTGTGAGTTTCCACTGCTAGCCAGGAGCGCAGCCCGCCTCCGACCCTGCTGGCATGCTGAGCACGCCCCCAGCTCTGCGCGTCCTCGCCACCAACCTACCGTTGAGCCAGCGCGAGTCGTGCTGCTCCGTCCTGATGGGGTGGTGGTGCCCGAGGGTCCGGAAGATGGCGAAGTCTCGCCCCATGAAGTCTGCGGCGGTGCCCGAGTACAGCTCTCCGTCTGGGGGTGATAAGAGACCGCCTCAGCGTAGCACTGAACGTGGCAAGGTCCACAGAGCAAGCTCTCCCAGCTTCCCGTCACGATCGCAGGAAGCCAGGGCGGGCGTGCCCTCAGTATCAGCACAGGAGGCTCACTGCGCCCCGCCCACGTCCTTCCTAAAGGGGCTTTTCCACCACATGATTGATCGTTCTTTTCTATCACCCACCTGAGCAAAATATCACCCCAAGAACATTGGTAAAGCATGACATCTTAATCTTTTCCACTCTGACCAGTGAGAAACTTACAGAATGTAAAATATAAACGACATCATATTATTTTCTGTTATTTTTATAAACTACTATTGCTAACAACCTTATTTAGAAAGGTAGAGAATCAATGTAAAATCTTGCTTATAGCTTATTTTAATGGCAGTGAAATCTTTCAGATGCTTTTAATCCAGTGGGATCTGAATTAATGAGATCTTCCTGTGATTTAAAAAGAACCAGTATTTTCCTTGCCAAGTTTTTCTGGAGGTTTTATTTTTAATGTATTAAGGAGAGAAGTGTTGTAACTTGCACACAGCCCCCGTAAGCCCACTGTAGCCTGCTAGTCCAGCAGAAATCATTTACGCTTGACGAGCCGAGGCCATAGTTAGCTCAGCTCACAGTACCCCAGATACCTGCCCTGCTGGTCCTCACACTGAATACACTCTCAGGCCAACTTTGATGGTGGAGAAACCACAAGTAGGAAGTAGGGAACAGAAGGGAAAAGAAACAAGGCAAGAGGAGCAGCTATAATCCTGGACACCACCCCATGTGGTGAGGCGGTCACCCTGGGGTGACATTGTCCCTATTTCACTTAGCTGTCAACAGACTGACATTGAAAGCAACATTGTCCCCGTGTCATGGCACAAGCAATCCAGACACTCAGCCAAGGCCTTGGCCAGCAAGGGTGGGTCCAAGGCAGGCCGGGTGCACTGAGCTACATCACACCTCAATATCCTGAGGGTTGTAAGAGTCATGCTTTTCCCCTGGAAACGGAGTGCTGCATCTTATTTCTTCCAGATAACAATAATTCTCTTCCTGTGTGCAGTGAATTATTATATTTGCAAAAGAAAACATCAAAAATGGTGAACACTTGTTAAAGTAACTTATAGTTCTTCCAGTACACCTGAGTATTGCTTGGTTGAAATTGGGATGGATGAATGATTTGCAATCTTTGATGTGCTAAATCTTCAGAAAGAAAGGTGCATAAAAGTGGAACCTCAGTGTTTTGTGTAGCATCATTCCTTTCACACTGCTTTTCCTACCAGGTAAATCGGAGAATTGTCTGGGACCCTTCAAGGAAAAATGCCTTCTGGGAGATCTCATCCTTCACAGGCCTTCTGCAATACTCTCTGTTCATAGGCTGCTTTCCCTGACAAAGGAGAGCTTCGCGACATGCAGGAGATTTTCTTAGTGGTCCAAGCCAAAGCCAGCCCTGTGGTAGTGACCGGGTGGCAGGCACCTTACCTTGCAAGATGAGGTAAGAAGACCTCATCCATGCGGCTTTCTTACCAAGGTACCCAGCGCATTGGGCAGATAAGCGCTGAGGGCTAATCACTGGCTCAGCCAGCCGTGGACACGTGGGGTCCTACACCCTCACACCACAGTCTTTTTGGAATTTAAGGGGAAACTGTGCTGTCTTCGTTTAGTTAAATGTCCAGTGTGAATCTGACCTGGTCTCAATAAAGTGTCATGCAGTGATATTTTACCTGACCAAAAGTTAAGGAGTAGCCTTTTTAAATACACAACAATGCTATGAATAAGCTGTTAATTTCAAAGGTTTTGCAATAATTCAGTGCCTATTATCTCTGTAATTTGAATGTATATTTAACCTGGAACATTTTTAAGATTCATGTTTTGTACTTTTACACTTGATAATAGGTATGGGCACATTTTTAAACACTGTGTGATGGTTTTTCTTCATCTGTGAATGTTAGTTTACAATATTTAGGGAAAGCATGCTAATTTTAAGTATTTTCCTGTTGGAACACCTGGGGAGGATGCCTCGTGTCCTTCCTCCCATGGCAAATTAAAAGCTTTAGATTATTTTTTGGGTCTCATTGCCTTCAAAATACATTACATGATCTCAATCAAAAGTCAGAATGGGGGCTAGGGAGATAGCTCAGTGGCCTAAGTGCCTGCCTGGAAAGCACAAGTTCCTGAGTTCGATACCTGGTTCTGCATGCTGTGCCAATCCCTGAACCTCTGCTGCACCTTGCCAGCCCTGGAACTGGCATGGTGGTGCACACCTGTAATCAATGCTAGGGATTGCCATGTACATCAAAAGGGGTTGTCAATCTGTCCAACCTGATTTTTAAGAGTTGGTACATCATGATTTTGTCTAGTACAACAAAATCACATTGTAGTTTGATATCTTAAAAATAATAGATTGGACTAAGAGAAGTTGGTCCCAAGAGAAGTAAGTAACCATCTAAAACTGTCAAAAGTGAAAATGGCTGTGTGACTCAGCCGTGAGTTTTCCAGCTGGCACTGAGCCCTGCCCTCTTTCCTGAGAGCTGTGTGAACTGGGTTCCACCAAGCCTGGCTTTCCTGAGAAGCTCGGACTCAAAGCTGAACCCACCTGTGCTCTAGGCTCCCTGCTCAGAGCTCAAAACCAAGTATCAGATTGCAATTCCTGAGAAGGGCGTGGGGAGGAGAGATAGGGGTAACCAGAAAATACTTCCCGATGAAGCTGCTGGCGCAGGTGAGGGGGCACGGACGTGAGAGGAGCCTACAAGCCCAGTGAGCAAGCTATTGCATTGTTAACGCCTTGGGTAAATGCTGCTTGCAGGGCACACAGTGCTTAGAAACAGAAGGACAGAAAGAGCAATTTCATGTCTCTCGTCTCTGTCTCTCATCTCTGTCTCTGTCTCTGTCTGTCTGTCTGTCTGTCTGTCTGTCTGTCTCTCCCCTCCCCTTCCCTCTCCCACTGCCTCCTCCTCTCCCTCTCTCCCTGACAGTGGAAATAATTTTACATTTTTTATACCTATTGAGCACTGGCTCTATACCTAAGATATGCTGGTTCTATGACTTACATTGTTCTTTTAGTATAACTTTTTTTTTCTTGAGCAAGGCAAAATTCCAGGTTCAAACAAGGTACAAAATTAAAACTACAAAATGTGTGAGGTATCAGATGTGCGTGTGACCCTCGCCACGGCGCCCACCACCACTACTTGCCGCTGTTGTCACTTTGCTGCACTTCATCCAGCCCCTGAAATGCACGCACACGCGAGGTAGCCGTGTGCTATTCCGTCGTCTCCCCTCGCTCTCACATCGAGCTCAGGAAGCAGCGTGACATGTGAGAATTGGAGTTCAGAAAGGCTCACATAGTCTTCTCAGTGATATTTAATGAATTCAAGCAGTTCCTGGCTGTTGGCTCGCTCCGGCAGAGCACTCCCTCGGGTCAGATGCGCCCCCCCCCCCGGAGGCGAGGCAGGACTCCAGCTCGAGGACGCAGCCCTGAGCAGAGGGCCTGGGCCTCTGAGTAATTTGCAGTCCCATTTAGTGATGCAGCATTTCTCAGGCATTAGTGCTGCGCTGCCTGGAAAAGATTTCAACGAGGAGCTGTCGTTGCCCTCAGGTTGAGCATTTCTTTCACGCCATGAAAATGTGAGCTGGCACTTAATTAGTGTGGAACACACCACATTTATTCCTGGGCTGTGCTCACACCTGGCATTCGTTCTGCGTTGGGGAGCAACCGTTATCTCTAATAAAGGGAAGTTCATAAAAATCTTTGCAGGTGGCAAAAATCACGACTAGTTTAAATGCACATTCTGGAGCAGTTTCTTTTTGAAAAAATTATCATTGCTAAAGGAGATGACTGGTGAAAGTAACCTTCCTAAGGTGACTGGAAATACGGAAGGTGTGCTCTAGGTTTGGGGAGCTGAGCATGGTGGGTGTGTGTCAGTGGTGGATGCAGGGTGGGACACAGCTTCTTTGGCTACCATTTTAGAAGTTGATGGCATTTAGAAAAAAAGTTATCCCAAACTTTCATTCTTTATGTAAATTGGATGCTTTAGCTGTCATCAGTTTTTGCAGTTTGCTCATGGTTGAAACCATTTTGTATCGGGATGGGAATATGAAAAGTATCTGTTGTCAAGATCCCTCCATCCGAGGGTCGGCCAGGTAGCTCAGTGGACTAAAGCACCTGCTTAGGCAGATTAAAGGACTGGGGTTTGATCCCCAGTGTCCCATGCTGGCCCCGGCCGTGGGGTGTGCTGAGCCAGTAATTGAGACTGGGCATGGTGGCATGTGCCTATAATCCCAGGGCTTGGGAGGCTGAAAATAGGAGGATCACTACAAGTCCAATCTGTGCAGTGAGACCCTGTAATCCCTGTGCTAAAATACATTAAAAAGAATCCATCCATCCATCCGGTTACAGGGGTTTGAGCTAACCCTGCAATTTTTAATTTTTAGTTTGGAAGTATGTTATAATCTTTATGTTCTGTGCTGAAATGAGGGGACTGCACCTGGAGGATATGGGGTGATAGAACGCCTTCTTAATGGTGACTCTGAGGTATACAAAGAACAAGCGGAGAAGCTCAGCGACAGCGTTTTGCAGCCTCTGTACATAAAGATTTTGGAAGTGCTGTGGACAATGTGTAAAAGGCTCCACTAAACTAGTGCACATTCTATGTAAAGCAGTCTACAAAAATGCCAAAGAAAGCTCAGTGGGCTGTGTTAAACGTGGTGCGAAAAGAATAATTTATAACCCAGTTACGAAGGCAACAAATGACCTCAATTTAAGGAGTTACTGCTCCCGAATTAAAATGGACTTGCAGGTATTTTGAGAGAGATTGTGGGATCTAAATGGTCTGTGCCCATTTCAGTATCTTACTCTTAGAGTACTCAAAAATTAATTCTTTTAGCCTTGTCAATAAGCACTTTATATCTCAGCAGTTATTCGGTTGTCTTGCTCCATCGGTATGTGAGATCTGCTTCCCATGCTACGGCTGTTTTATTCTTTCTCAGACACTGAGTTTCCTCCTTGGTCTTTTCCCTTTCAGTAACCTACACAGCCCTTCCGAAGGGGCACAGTGTCAAACACACGCGGGGGCGTCCCGTAGCCCGCACAGCTGCGTGCCGCGGCAGGGACGTAATTCCCGCCTGTCGTCATCCTTTCCCAAGGAATATTAAAATAAATAATCAAGAAAGCCCTGCTGAGGAGCACACCCCCACGCTAGAGCTGCTTGGGACACATTTGTGCAGGCTGCATTTTCAGGAAAAGCCAGCCTTTTTTCAGTGTGTAACTTAAATAAATACAGGCTGTGAGCTAGGACAAAGCAGGGCACCGCCTCTTTGTTTAAGGCAGATTTCAAATCTAAGGCACATGTGAGCCAGAAGGAAGGAACCTGCGGCCGCCCCGACCCCGGGAGCGGGGAAGCTGCGAATGTGCCGACGGCCTCGTTCATTCATGCTTACACTGTCCTTAGGAAGCTCTCCGAGTGGGGCAAGTGGAATGAAATCGCCTAACGCGAAAAGCAATAAAAAAGATAATTCAGTCTACAATGTTTTTATTCCCGATGAAACAGACTGACAACAAAGCAAATACTGGAGTAGATAATGTGGCTAGTATTTTATTTTATTGACTAGAAAAAGTATTATGTATAAAATAAAAAGGAAAAACTTTATGAACTCATTACAGTCAGATAACTAAATTTGCCATTTATAAACCTAGGTTTATTATTCCAAATCCCACTAGTAATTTTATATTTCATGAATTTCACTATTATTTTTACTGTGCTATCAAGTACTTGCTATTTCTATTTTAAAGGTCAGGAGGAACAGCACATAATTTACACATGATTATGTAGAAGAAATATTCAGGAGCAAAAATCATTACCCAGAATGTTTACATGTTGTTGTGAGCTCAAAAGTAAGCAAAAAAGAGACCGATTCACCAGAAAGAAGAAGAGATGGAGAGAGGGGGAGGCGGGGGTGGGAGGCGGGAGGCGGGACGGGGAAGGGTGCGTCCTGATTGATCACGTTTTGTTTGTTTCTTTATTTAACTCATTTATTTAACTACAATCTAGAGATAGTTAAAAGGATGTGCCAACAAATTCTTCACTGCCTTTCAAAACAGCAAAAATTCCTCCGACTTCTACCTACTCCCGTCTTCTAAGTATTAGAACCGCTTAGTATTCTAGGCATTTCCTTCCCATCTGCAGTGCTGATGGGAAAGGGGGAAACAGAGAGCTCAAATAAACAAAGCAGGAGGAAATGGTAGGGAAAATCACACAAATGTTGGGCTGTGCTTAATTAATGGCAAAAGGAGAGCGAGCAAAGCCACCCATCGTGACACAGGGAGTTTGTGGCTCATCTAGAGAGCAGCAGGAGCCGGCTGCAGATGGCACAAGGTGGTGTCCCCATGCCCTGTCACCACGTTGAGTGTGCTGCGGCCCTGGGAGGCCACAACAGGCCTGGCCCAACTCGCAACAGGCCTGAATGGCATTCTTTACGCCATTTCTCTGAATTCTTTAAACACCTTCGTTCATGAAATCAAAATCAATTATTTTCACAAAATCATTTTCAGATGAGGATGTGTGAATACCAAGAAGATGATTTTAAAGATGCTATTAAAACTTTGTGATGAAGTAGAATCAAATGGCGTTTTCAGAACTAAAGCAGCATTCAGGGTCATTCATCATCTTTAAAACACGTGAGCCTGACAGTGGTGTTCTCCTCCCAAAACTATTAGTGATTAGTAAAGGCCGCTCGGCGTCGACTGAGGGCCGCATGCGCGGCGCTCGCTCAGAAGGCTTTCGCTGCCTGCGTGCGGACAACGTACCTATCAGAAGAGACGCCGTCAGCACTTTGGGGTCGTACGGACTCTTCCCTCGGCCGTTTTCAAAATGTGAGTCCTCCAGTTTAAAAATGTTGTCCTGTAGATTAAAACGAAAGAGGAATTTCACATATCTACAAAAGGAAGTGCGTGTAATGTGCTAGTTAACCGGAGAGGGTTTGAGTAGTCACGGACGGCCACGGGTGCAAACTTCAGGGGTGACAAAATGAATTAAGCGGACACGCCACTATTCCTGTTGCGGTGGTGGTTCTTAGTGTGGCGGAGCAAAATGCAAGCGACGGTGCGCCAGGTAAGCTGAGGCCTGGGGAACAGGGAGGGCAGGACCGGACATGCGTGCCGAGATCTAGCTCAGTGACTCATGAAGAAATGACGTTAAATGTAAGTAAAGTCGCCCATTGTCCTCCTGGACAGAGACGAATGCGGCGTTGCCCCGGCAGGCACGCGGAACCTCCCCCATGGGCGCGCCACTCCTGGGGGTACCCTCTGGGAAGAGCTGCGGGACAGCCGAGGCTGGGGCCTTCTTCCTGCGCTGCTTGGTAGGACGTCGGGGCTCACGCGAGCTCCTGAGCTCTCAGCTACGAGGCAGCAGCCAGGTGCCCGATGGAACCCCGCCTGCCTGGCGCCCTGGGAGGGAAGCATCTCTGTGCGGGAGGGCTCGGGCCTGGCGGTGCCGTGGGAGCACGGGAGCAGTGTCGCGGAAGCCTGCTCTGCCGGGCCTGCCGTGCAGACACTGGAGAGAACTTTGGCTGCGGTCAAAAGCTCGCTCCGATCCGCCGCAGGGCGGGGGCCAGCAGCAAGACGGCGCACACCGCGCTGAGCACGCAGCCAGCTCCTGCCGCCGCCTTCTGCCGCCTGTGTGCGACAGTGGCATGCTTCTGGAGACGTTGCTGACCGTGCTTTTCAGACCCCGGCGCCTGGGAATTGGGGCAGAAGCAGTATGCTTTTCTCAGTAGACATTAACTTGTCCACAGCCTGAACCAAAATAGCTTTTTTGGCAGGTTCTCCTATTCACATTACATATTTTTCTATCTCTTTAGAATAGTAAGTGGCGCTCCTTTTAGGGCCCGTGAAGACCATTTACTTAATGTTTAATATTTCTGATGGAGCTAATGGCAGGGTTTCAAGCTGTGACTCCTAAGCGTTCTCTGAATTAGGACGGAAGTGGAAAGGAAGCAACCAGCAGCGCTGCCCCAGCTCCCTCTGGGGTGCGGCTGCCCCAGCCCTGAGGAAGCTAGCCGGGGCACCCGCACCGTGTGCTCAGTGATGGGCTTCCTCAGAGCTGGCCTGGCACCAGGGCAGGGTGGCGAGCGGGCACTGCTCCAGCTGGACTGATGCCGGGCCTCTGGTCAGCACTTGGCATCGCTGAGCCTCTGGCCCCGAAAGCAACGGGCATAAGGGTATCTACCCAGAAAGACTTCCCAGAAGGACTGCAAATTTACGCGATGTATATAATATACATATAAAATATATATTTAATATATATATTATTTGGTACAGGCTCTCACTATACAGCTCCGACTCAGTGATCCTCCTGTTTTCAGCCTCCCCAGCACTGGAATTACAGGCATGTGCCACCACACCCACACTTGGTCGCCAGGTCAGCGCTCCCTGAGGGCTGGGCCTGCATGGCTTGTGAGACCAGGGATGGAACCTTGGTTCCTGCACCACAATATTTTTAATGTTGCATAAAATCAAATATTATTCATTTTTATTATATTAATTATATCAAAATTATCCTGGAATAATGCAAAAAATGAACACCTATGTTTATTGTGCAATTTCTGGACATAATATGAAAGAAGTATTATTCAAGAGATTTACATAAATTGAACAATACTGAAGTTGTCCACAAATACAATTTATCACAGATACTTGAATATTATAATTATATCATGCAAATTATTGACAAGCCAATAAGAAAAAAATTCTAATAAATATTTTGATATATATGTGTATTTTCTTTAAAATTATAAAATAAGGAAAAAGTATTTGTCTTACTAAAACAAATGTTTTAAAAATTTTATATATACCTGTATATTAGGTTGGAAGAAGGGAAAAAAAGCAATACGTTGGAAAATATTTTTATACTCCTTTTGTACTCACCAGGCATTTTACAACACTGGCAAATGCAGAGGGCTCTCCTGTCCAAGAAAGAGGCCCTAACGCTGGGATCGAATGTCCGAGCTAATCAGAGAACATCGAGGTAGACGAGAAGGACTCCCAGCCCCCTGTAGTACTTGATTTACAATGTAAAGGTTTAGACTTCACAGGAAGAAAGGTTAAGCACATTGGTTCTGGGTCAGGAGAAGATGAAAACGATTCCTCGTCCCGGTGTCAGGTAATATGCTCAACGTTTCCTTCCTTATGTTTAAAAACTCATAAATAAATACTAAGTTAATCGCCTCCTTTATGGATACTCAATATCTTCCTGCTCGGTGTAGCTCTCACCCAAATCTCAGGGTCTCCCGTGTAAATCTTTTATATTCCCACGTGAGTCTGCTGAGAAGCAAAGCACCCTGCACCTCCGTTCAGCTCAGTCGGGTGAGAACAGAATCGGCGTAACCTCATTTCTGAACGCAGCAGAAAAAGGCATCTCTTACACACCATTGTTTAGAGTCTAGAATTCCTGCCCCTACGCGGGACCCAAAACACTGCAAATGGGTAGAACTAATGCTCCTGGTGGGCTGCCCCAGGAACACTGGGCTTCCGGGAAAGCCCCCGGCCTGAGGAAGCTCAGCTTCCTTCTCCCTGGCAGGATAAGCAAAGCTCTGGCTGGTGTAGGGGTGCATTGAAACAACGCGTATACACTAGAGTTAGCATCCCTTCAGAAATCAGCTCTTCTGCACTTCCATTGATTATGTTTGCCGCAATAAGACCGTTCTGTCTCACACTGACCAGAATCTCTCCTGCCACGGTGGAAACGGCTGCTTACAGTTTCACCAGTAAAAATTAAGCCAAGTGTTAATTCTGTGTGAATGCTTTAGCAAGTACTAAGCTGTCCTCCCTCCCTTGGCTGGCCAAGTGACAGCTCAAAGGAGTTTGTGAAGAAAAATATCATTGAGGTAGAAAAAATATTTTCTTAGTATACAATGTTTTGAAAAGGAGCACAACTGTTAACTTATTAAAATATTTATGTAGTTTGTTAAAATATAAGAGTACTAAATAAAATATGTATTAATTTGAAAAAGGGAGCCCCTTTGGTGTGTTTGCTGTATTTACTGTTATCACTATGAAGAGCACCACTGTTGCTCTGCTTCCCAACAAGAAAATCCTTTAAGATGCACTTCGCCACTTCACTACTTCGCCACTGTGGAGGAGCCTGTGTCCATACACTGACTTGTCCCCTCCATATGCTGTCTTATGTGCTGGGTCACACACTTCACTGGGTCTACAGAGACAGCTTTTAAAATTCTTATTGCTTATTATAGAAGTAATAAGGAAGGGGCTGGCCAAATAGCTCAGTGGATTAAAGTGCCTGCAAGCAGGCGCAGGGGCCAGGAGTTCAATCCCTGGGCCTGCCATGCCAGCCCTGCCCCTGTGGTGCACTGAGACGGGAATTGAGGCTGGGCATGGTGGCGCGCGCCTGTAATCCCAGCTCTTGGGATCTCTATAAGTCTGATCTAGTAGTGAGACCCCCAACACCCTGGAGACCCTTCTCCCCACCAAAAAAGAAAACAAAAAGAAATAATAAGGAAAATCCCAGGGCTCTTGTATATGGCCTTTGTTGTCGTTTTCTTTTACGTTTACACAGGCTCTCACTACGATGTCGAAGCCACAGTGATCTCCTGCCTCAGCCTCCTGCGCCCCAGGACCCATGTGCCAGCTGCTGTGTCTATCCTGAGCTGGAACAGTTTCCTTTTTTATGCTACTTGAACAAAGCTCCAGCGGCGGGACGCTAATTGCTTTAGCAGATACCCTGAGCAGATCATGTAAGTTATTGCACCAGATTTTATTACATGATTGCATCAGTTTTCAACGACTATTTTTAGCTTTCAAGACTACTCTTTCTCTTTGTCCTGTGGATTTCCTGAATGTTACGAGGCTGCGGCGAAGGCCGGCATTAGAGGAAATAATAACTGTGCTGATGTCTGATCCAAAGGCTCATGAATTATAAACCCTTGGTGACATCATGGCAATGAATTTCCTCAATCTCAGTCTTGTCCAAGTAATAAATTTTGGCAGCAATATTGCAATTTTACGTATTTTCTTTAATGATTAAAACACAAGTGATGCTTACAAAAGGAGAGAACATGAAACTCAGTGGATGTGGAAGGGAACTAACCTTCCCTAGGGAAATGACAAAGCGATGTAAACCTCTGCGGCTGGGGAGGTGCGGTGAAGTGCACCTCGCGTATTTTCACATCTCTCTTTTCTTTCGTGTGGAAGTCGCCTGGGCAGTCAGGTGCTGCCTGATGGCGGCTTCCCTCAGCCTGGCCGCCAGCCGCCCTCCCCCACTGGTGCCTCCCGCGCCAGGACCCTTCATTTTTCCTTAGATTACATTCAACTGCTGCTTCCCAGAGAGCCCTTCCGCCGCGGCTGCGACTGCGCTTGCCTGCTGTCTTTGTGTGTATTCTACTGAACAGGCGCCGACTACCAGGGAAATCTCCTGAGCGCAGAGAGCAGACGCGAGCAGGCACTGCAGGACATACCTTGGCCTGCTGGCGTCACAAAGGAAACCTTTTGTGGATCCGATTCATGGAGAATTTCCTTGTCTTGAAAGGGTGACTCCAGATAGCTTTGCACCCTGCAATGCTGAGTGGCCTCAAGTCGCACCTCTTTATTTAATTCTAATTAATTAAAATGGAAAACAACATTCCTAGGTGGCATTAGTGACATCCCAGCACGCAGAGTCACGTGCAGCTTGCGGCTACAGTGCCATGGAGGCAGGTGGCGGTGGACTCGCACAACGTGCCGGAAGCGCTCTGGGCCGCGGGCGGGCTGGGGCTCAGTCTCGGGAATCCTCCCGCGGCGGCCCTGAGTTTGGGGCTGGCCGCGTGGGACCGCCAAGGTCAGAGGCCTGGACGCCAGAACACAGTGGCAATGGGGAAAATCTGTTGTCTGCACAAAGAGATAAATACT